GGGCACAGGAACTCCGGGACACTGTTATGCATTTCATGAGTCTTTTCCTTTTTTATTTTTTTTTTTACCTTCCTTTTTTTATTTGCTTCTTTTCTTGAATATAGGGGAGGCACGTGCTCCTCTGGCGACCCCGACACTACGCCGCTGCCATACACAGGTGTCTCATCGGGTGCATCCCGCAATCATCCGATTAGCCTGTCTCCCGGGTAAGCACACAGCAGGCACACAGGACGTACTGTATATAGACTTCCACCACTCAAAGAGAAGGGGGAGACATGGAGGGAATGCGTTCATAATGCCCGCATTCCCCAAATCCTTATCCCCTTGGTAACAAGCCGATTGTATTTTGAAGAAGCATCTCATGATCAAACTATCGTGGTTTAGAAAAACGGACTTTTAATTACAGAAGGGCCTTTTATGCCGCGTGCATAATAATAATAGTATAACAGTATAAATGGCGTGAATGATAGTTGTAGGAGTCAGTCAAGAGTCAAGAGTCAAGTCAAGATAGTTAGTGACATCAAGAGGCGATTTCGCCCATTTCGATATCACGTGTTCCAGGTCGAGCGTTCCTTAATTTTAGGGTAGGCCTAACCCTCTTAAAGCTAAATATTTTTGTATTTTTGTATATATATATTTTTTTGACTATCCTAGTTGCTTACTGTCTAGTNTTCACGATCGTCTCCTCGGTGATGGAAATATCCTCGATGCGAGCAGAGGTCACCTCCTCCAAGGCCCGGGGCAAAACTAAGGCTACTGTTCGAAGGGGGATGGCTGGATGGGCCCTTGACATAAGGTCTCATTGGAGGTCCCCTTGATAACGTGACGCCCGGGGCAGATTGCCTCCCCCCCCCTTTCCTCTGGGCGGGCCTGGTAAGTCTCGTTAAAAGGTTGTGAATCGTGGCGAATGGGCTATCGGAACGAATGAAAAGTAACCTTGGAGAATACTTGCGATCCATCATGGAATTTGCATGATCTCCGGCGATGGCTTTTTCTCCCGTACAACGTGACTCAGTCGTCAGAAGTAACCGGTGGCTTTCACGCCGCGCAGGGTCGACCTAACTATTTCGGCGCCTTTAGCCAAGAGACTCACAGCGGCCCCCCCCCCCCCCTTCCCTATGAAGGAAGAGGGGTCAAACTCTAGCGTCCGAAAAGACGCCGAAATGGGAGGCATTTCCATTCTCTGAAGGAAAACTGAGGGTGGCATCCATTATTGCTTCATTCAGTCCCGCTTTGGCGTCCCTGGTGAATTTGCGCCCTATGGAAGGGCACATGCCTTAGGCCGGCCCTGTGTTATCGGCTGGGGGGCAGTGGACCTGTTCACGAGGCTCTTGCTTTCTATGCCCTCTGGGAACAATATTTCCCAATTTGGTTCAGTGTGCTTTTCTTTGTGCATTATCCAGAGAATGGAATCGTGTACCACTTGTAGATGATGTCTCCCAGTGAAATTGGGCGTCTCATTACCTGAAGGAGACGACGTGCGCTCTCAACTCCTCTTCTGAATTTATTCCGCGTTTACCTACTCTTGGTGGTTAATCTTTTCTCGACTATGAATAATATAAAAAGTCGTAGTCGCTTCACCCACTCATAGCATGAGATGCAGCGAGACATAGTAATACCAGAAACCAGTGTACTGTGATGTAAGAGGCACACCGGCACCATATGAAGCGGAAGATACACAGCTGAAGTGTGAGAACGAGAAGCTTGAGTGCGCTTGCCTATACCATCCTGTAATGCTGCAAGTTCGGTGGGCCCAAGAATCCTCGCCCGGGAATGGGTTGGTTCCCCATTTACGTGGGTCATTCCGAAAAACTTTCCGCCTAGAAATGAAGATAAATGAGTTAAAGCCTACTCATTTGTTTGATATGCTTCTTTTAATTTGCTTTTGAAAGTTTCGTCCGTTTCTGTTGACATTTAGTGATTCAGTAGCTCAACGAATGGAAGCTGGTAGTGCTATCTCGTAAGAAACCGTTTTGTCCCTAGCAGAAGTGATTCATCACCTTTGCGTCATCATTTTTAGAACGGTAAGAGAGCGTCCTCACCAGACGATTGCTGAGAGGAACGTTCAGGTTTTATTTTGCCCTTAGTCATTTTCCCCGTTCTGGAAGAAGCGGTACAATTTTTTAAAATTATTATTAAAAACACCGTTGCAAATGAAGGTTTTTTTTTGTCAAAAACCTTGACTTATCTTTCAGGCAAGCATAAGCTGAGAGGCTCTTTTCCAGTTGTGGAAAATGATGGCATTAAATGAGATAGTGCGTCAGGCCTAGTAAGAAAGCTGCTCACGAGATCAAATGCTTACGGGGACTAATCAGGCACCAATCACAAATCTTTCACCGTCTTCACGCTTATCACCTTCACTTTCATTTTGTAAATACTTCTAGAAAGGCATTTTCCCTTGTCCCTAGTAAAATATTCCTGGAAACGACAGAAAGTGGAGTAAGTGTTTTTAGCATTATCTGACGTGTTGGGCGATGTGAATAAGATCTACCCTTCAATTCGTATCCCTGAGTATAAGGAAGAGGGAGAGAGAGAACAGAAAATAGAAAAAAAAAATGAATTCAATGGCAGGGATTCGAGATTCGAACACGAGTCTCATGATCGGGAAACAAATGATTTTCCCCTTGTCAATGGGTGGAGATCCGAAATGGCGGGAAAACGGGCTTTCTCAATGTAATTGACGAGTCTATCCGTTCTCGAGTGGAAGTCAAAGTTGTGGAATGTTGAGGTCAAGTGAATCCAACTACATCCGTGACATCAAAGGGATCCTGGCAAAAGGAGAAAATCTCGTTTCCCGCTGTTTCTTCAAAACCGGAAAAAAAGGGAGTTCAAGGGCGAATTTAGTGACCTCATCACTCTGCCTGCCTCTCCCTATTCTTTTCACTCAGTGGATTCTCGACATCCGACTAACCCCTTGATCAGGGAATGAAGTCGTCCATTTGAGCAATTCCCATCAGTAAGGGTAGCTGTCTCGAGTCCTCAATTTTCTTCCTTCAATGCTGCTCTCCTCTTGTTTCCTAGCTAATATGGATTCCTTTGCTTCTTGCAAAACCATAGAGATCAAAACGAACTTCCGTCGATGAATTTGAGGCTGTCAAAACGATTTCGAAACTGTTCGAAATATCCTTACTTCATCATATTCCGCTCGGATTGCTCATCGTCCCCTCGCCTATCTTTTCTCCTAAATGCTGGCACAACTCATTACTTCCGTGAATTCTTGTATTTTTAACCGTCACCATGATGAATAATTATTAGGATTGGAGACATTGGAAAACAGTAAATAAAAACATTTTATTTTCCATTTAGTACCCATTGGGAAGATGAAATTAAAGATCCAGGGCTTGAAGCAGGGATGACCGGCTGATACGAAGTACAGTGAAACCTCGCTAATCCGGACTTCTTTTTTTTTTAAATATATATTTAGGAATGTCTGTACTTTTGGCTAATCCGGACAAGCGAGGTTTTACTGCATATAGAAAAAAACGAAGTCTGATTAGGGAGGTTTCACTGTACTAACAAGGGCTGCTGGGGGAGGTGGGATGGCTTATGGGGGATATGATGCACAATTGATGCCAGGGCAGGGGCATATGACACAAACATTTGAAATGTAACATACCTGAGATCACAACACTAGATGATGATGGAGGACCAAAAGCATATGCAACAACCAGGGTCCAGTGCACCAAATGATTCTTCACCGGACCTGAGAATGACATGGATAAAAAAAGAAAGACATCTTAACCCTTTGATGAGTTTCACCTGGGCACTCCCAGAATGTTTTGAGAAAAAAATTAGTTGAGGTCCCTCAACGAAATATATCTTGAAAGTTTTTGATCATAATGTGGCAATATAGTTGATTGTAGCACATGATAGGCAAAAATTGTAGCAAACTCAAAAAGGGTAATTTCTACAAACTTGATATTGACATTTTGTAAAAATTTTGGAAACAAATATTTATGGGCATACTTCTCAAAGGGTTCCAGGAGCAAACAACAGGTAGTTCTAACCAATGGGGGCAAACTTGCAATAACCACATTGAGATGTTTTTGTTACAAATAATGCAGAGAATCTTAGGAATTATATGTACACTTAATTTTCTCCATTTAGAGATGTACAATACATCTGAGTTGTTATCATGAAGTGATTTTACATTCATTTGCAAAGCAGAGCATTCCCCTTGCCACATAATGAGTAGCTGTTGTTGAATGCATAGGAACAATGGAAGAAGTTGGTAGTGGACATATTCAACACCTATAGACATACTCTGCCTTCAAACTGGAATCAGTGGCATCATTTGAATCTGAAATGCAGGGAATGTTGAGCCTCCTATTTGAAAACATGTCAAGAAATTCCTTGGTGTCTGGAGTTACTTTAAATTTGATGGGAATGTATTGCACTGTTTCAGATACATACCATTTTAATTTAATGCAGTTACTTTGTGAATGACCAATGTGTGGCTGGGGATACTGTTCTTGGTTTTCAAAGTTAGTGACTTAAGAGACCAATCTGGAGCAAAACCTACTGAACCGACTTGGATAAATTAGGTTCTCCTTGCTCTAGCAGTGTCAATTGGGGCCTCAATTACTAATTTTATACTGGAAGTACTAAAAGTACTTAAAGTACTTACCTAAAACATTATGATCTAGAGCAGCAGTTTTCAAACTGGGAGGGGAGAACAAAGAGATATAAGAATGAAATAGTCGTTAAAAGCCACTGTGGTAAATTCCCAACTGGACCACAGTTGGAAATTCAGACCCATTCCAGCTGGGGAACACTTGAAAAATGAACATGGATTCAGGCTAGTTTCCAGCTGGAATTTCACAGGCTGGACTAAGAATGATTTCATTAGCTGCTCCATGCTGAACACCAGCAATGGAAGCAGCAGAATCAGCTCCATACCAACTGATGGATGTTTTGTGGTTCCACACTGGTTCTGAAGTTTCATGATAGTTCATAGCTACAGTGCAGGTACCATCTGCACTCTCAAATGAGGTGGGAACTGCAGTAATGTAAATACAGCCAGTAATGACTTACATGATAACATCACCATGACATCAATTTATGCCTATTACTTGCACAGTGATTAATGATCCATATGAGAAATTTGCATTAATTGGTAGAAATAGTGAGAGATAAAAACATCACACTCTTCCTTTCAGGTCTGAACTAGATGTGCCACAATGATGGACCCCCTTGCATAGAGCAGTTTGGAAGCATCAGTAGACTGATGTGATTTGAAATGTTTCTCAGGGGGTTGCCTAATATTGGAATGTGGTGTGTACAATGCACATATTTCTCATTAACTGTACATGTACATGGTGTTATTGGTGAATTAGACCGCAGTGAGAACTATTATGAAACTTAAACCAGTTCAAAATCAGCCAAGATCCTCCAGCTGGAACAGGACTGAATTTATAGCTGCAATTCAGCTGCTTCCATAGGTAGACTCCTGCAGGAAACACCAAAGTGAATCATTCTTAGTTCAACTAGAAACCAGTTTGGGTTAAGCTTCATTTCCAAGCTATTCTAAAGCTGGAATGGGTCTGAATTGAAGAATATGATCCAGTTGGATATAAAAGATGAGATTAAAAACTGGCAATGAAGGAACAAGAAGAGGGCTAAGGGATTGGAACTTGTGAACAATCCAGAAGAAATTGTATGGTTACAATCTCTTCTGAATAGCAGGAGGTAGGCTTGTACCTTCTGCTGCTCTGGAAGTTGGCCATAAACTTCTTTCAGGCTGTCTCTGTGAGAGATTGGTAATTTAAAAATGGAACATAGACCAGTTGATCAGCCATGTAGATGATATTGGTATTCACTAATTCTCATGATATAGTCTGATATCCTAAGTCTGGTAACATCGGAACTCTATTTCTAATTTATCAACAGACTCAAGGGTGAAGGTTTTTAATGAACTAATGAAACTGCAAGCAGAACTACTCCTTTCACCATAATTCATCACCAAAGTAGATTCTCATTCAGTGAAATGAAGTAGGCTTGGAATAAAGTTAGAGTTGAACTTTTTGAAAGTCAACCTTTGGAGGACAAAATTAAGTATCACAAATATGTGATACTTAATTTCATCCCACCATGAAATTAAGTATCACAAATCAGTATCTTGTCTCGCACTAGAGGGTGAAGGGCCTGAAAGGGCTATTGAGTACTTTGGCATCGTACAGGGATGTAGCCAGGGGGGGTGTCCTGGGTGTCTGGACACCCCCTGAAAAGAAGCAAGATATCATGAAACAAGGAGTATGGGAGTGGGGAGGGAGGGTATGAAAAGTTTCACATATACAACTGATGTTTCGATTTGCACTGATTTCTACCTTCTGAATGCAGACACTCTTAACCAATATAGTGTCCCCCCTCCATTTTGCTTCCATTTCACTACCAGTTTTTGAGTTCCAGTTGCAAACCATGATTCAGGAGTAGCTCTTACCTATTACATTATGACTGATTCAAGGACCCACATCTCTTTTTTTTCATGCAAAGAAAAAAAATTTTAATTTTGGGAAGAAAAGGGGGCTATTTTGAACTACGAGGTGGGTAGGGTCGAAGTCTCAAAAGGGCTTTCAAAGTTTTCCTCATTCCTGCCAGCCCCTCACCTTCCTTGACCACTTCGTCATCTCATGAGCCTGAAAGAGCCTCACAAGACTGAAATTGTTTCCTGGCTACGTCACTGGCATGGCATCGTAATAGGTTCATACTCACACACACTAACCTTCCAATGCCTGTAGCTGGAAAGAAATGACTTCTCCATTTTGGAAAACAAAAAACCATGTCCCCATGACATTCTCAATGTTTTCCCTTAAAAACCAATGCTCATGTAAACAAGCCTGGTTTTTCCACATCCACGTGGCCAGATGATCCATTTCATGGATTGAATGAATTTATTTCATTAAGAATGGCTGCAATTAATGGCACATGAAGAATTCAGGAAAAGGGAGGGCTCAAATTCAAGACAACTGAAAGGATTTTCAAGGGCGATAAAAGGGTTGGAGCCCCCTTAGTTTCCTTCAACTGGGATATGATGCAACACCACTCAAATTTATTAAAGTAGCATAAAGCCAGGGGCAGCCACAGCGACCTCTTTCAGGTGATTCTGCAAGGGCTATAGGAATTTAGACCTAAGGTGCAAATGAGATTATGCGGTTGTCATTAAAAAATGGCCTCTACAAAACATGGCTCTTTAAGGGATTCAAGGTCAGCAAAATTCATTTGGCCAGGGCCTACAGTAAATCTACGTCCACCGTAACCATAGGAGCCCAACGGATATGTCTTGGCTGGCTTATGACAGGGATTAGAGAAAAGCGCCGTTATGGAGGGACAGAAAGTGGTGGAAGATGAAGCTGTGATGACGGACTTCGTCGCCATATGGACAAAGGAAATAACCATTACTGCCATCTTGTGGCTGGTGCACGTATCAGTCCTATGTCGGTGTGTGAGTGTTTGTTTTCCCTCAAAACCCCCAAAGCTGCCAAAAATACCATGCCTGGACGTTTCCACATGTCGACACCCGATGGCCAGCACCCACTATCGTGTGGGTCAATGCATAATTGCACGTCCTCAAACCAAGGCCGTCCGGGCGATGTCGAAATCCCGAAAGCATAGGCGCACCATCAGGAGGTACAGGGGCGAGACAGGTTTTGGCCCCCCCCACATGAATTACGAATTCTTTCATCGATTTTTCCGTTTTTATTAAAACAGGCTTGAGATCCTGGTTATATTCTTCAACTCCTGCAATCCCCCAGTCCAGGACACTCATTGCGATTTGGCCCCAAATTTGAGCGATCGAAATCACAACTTCATGGTTTCCATTAACGTTGTGTCTCAGAAGAAAATTAGATAGCTTGCCTCAAGTCACATCAATTCTTAATTTCCTATGAAGGCTAGCAAAATGTCTTGCAGAGCAAAGGTCCAACTTAATGCAAACAAGCCGTGCACGTGTTGAAATGTGTCAATTTGAGGCGGAATGTTTTTGCCTTTCCCCCAGCTCAAAGTGAGGTGTGTGATCGTGAGAAAAATCATAGTGAACTCTCTTCATAGTGGGACGTCCAATATTTCACCCAAGAGACCCTGGGCAAGGCCTCAGTGTAATGGTGAGGCATCCATACATGTTCGATGACCTTGTAGGCCTAGTTAAAGGTCTATTGTTTCTACATGGTTTTTGTCGGGTTTACAATATTAGGTTCCTGAGAGCAGCAGGGAAGGGGGAAATAAATTGTCCTTAGATAGTCACATACTGGTTATTCTTCACCGTGAAGCTAGTATTTTGGCATAATCCTTGATGAAGGGTGTGATTTATCTATATTTACAACTCTCACATGAAGGACAAACTTGCAAAGCATTAAACTTGTTTTAATGCCTGATATATCACAGACCACAGCCATGAGGAGGTGAAACAGTGAAGAAGTGAAGAGGAAAGATATACTGGATAAAAATCTCACTTAACCTAAGTCTCACTTGCATGAGTCCTGGGGCTACCAGGATGATAATGAATATATGCCATCCAGGATGTGCATGGAGGTCAGAACCATCAAATATCCAGAGTGGGTGTGCCCCCATAGATACTTCAGTCACCCAGACCATTGTGTACAAAATTGTTGGATTATTGATGTATAATGTGTTACAGGCAAGAGAGGACAGCAAGACATCTCTTCAACCCATATCCCACTAGGGTGAGTACAGGAGACACAAGCATAGCATTGAATTTACAATATCCAAGGAGTGCAAAAATCACACCACCAACACATTCAGAGAGCTTGCTGGGTGTCTCTCCCTCACTTTGACTCCCACTCAGTTATATGACATTCATTCAGTCAACCTGGACTTTGTCTTAGAACTTGTAGGATTTTTTATCTTTCAGGTGGCACAGAGCAAGAAAAGACAACCAGACATTGCCTAAGTAGGTAATGACTTCCTACAATCATCCAAGACAGCTAGGACCACAGAACCAGCACAGGTCCAGATTGCTTCACTCAGATGATGATTTTAGGTCTATGTTTGAAAGTGTTTTATACAGCCATTGCCTGCCCAATGGACATGACTAGGCATTTACCTGCACCAAGCTTTGCTGAGGTCACTGTCAACCTAGGCCATTCGACATCTGTTTGTATCCTGGATTTGCTTTCCTTTTGCATCTTTTGATTTATATTTATTTATATTTAATTTAAATATAAATATATTTAATCTAAATATATTTAATTTAAATTACCTTTAAAAAGTAATGTTCCACTTACAGTAATGGTTCCTTTATTTTCTGGGAGGTTTAATTCAATGCATAAAAATAAAATTAGGTATGCAAAATATGACTAATTTTAGCTACATGTATCTTCATAATGTTGTTAAAGTAGGTTGAAGGGAAGAGGCCATAGGTATTGGCATCTATCTGGTAGACTACTTACCATTCTTCCTGGAATGTTCTCATGAGAAAGAACATGGGTCCACTGAGTGAGATAGTGCATGCAACTGGAGATGTGAGATGAGAATGAATGCAGGTGGTGACTTAAAGGTGGATGAAGATGGTGTGTTTCTACTGGAACTGATGCTCAGTGATTGAAGGAGGGTGTGCATGGCATTGGAACAACTCTTTGGATAGAGGAGAACCTCTTGCTCCTGGCCAACTTGCTTTGCTGAGGGTTTATGTAACAGCCAATGTGGAGGTTGAGTCTGCTCATTATCTAAGCCGTCAAAAGTGAGTTGGTGCAAATGTTGCTTTGACACTTATATCTATTCCAGGACTTGTGTGCATTTTCCATTGCAGGTGAATGGAGTTCAGCAAGGAACTTTGTTGTTGCAGGGAATGACTAAGCAGTCAATAGCCTAATGGACTGATGGTGTCTCTCTGGTTCATCTCATGGAGGAGACCCCTTTCTTGTGGATTACTTTGGAAGCCTGCTCCTGTTTGGTCTAAGTCATAGCCATCTGAGGGACATTGGACCAGGGACATTGGACATGGTTAGCCTGAGACTGGGGTAAGCACCAGATGTCCCCACTACAAGTTTGGAATCTGAGAGCTCCTACTTTAAGGTACATATAAAAGATAAAAATTGACCCCTCCTGGATCAAAATTCCGCTCTATAATTATTGTTAGGGACCTCCAAGGAGGAGGGCCCAAGAGCCACTTTTCGAGACTCTAAGGTCACCGGTGTGGACAGGAAGTAGGATCAAAGGTCACGATTTCGATGAGTCTCTTCAGAGGCTTTTACCTCCGGCATCGTCCCACGCAGAACTTTGAAATTAGTCTCATTCTCTTCCTTAGATTCTATTCTAAACAATGATTTAAAATTCTTGATGATGCTACCACGGGTTCGGGATGGGGAACGAATTTTGCGAAAATCTCGTCTCGTTGCGCCTCACGTTTGCTCCTCCCAAATCCGTCGTAAGCAAAGCATCGAGAAATCCATAGATACGATTTTGCATCATGACCAGTTGCATCTTTATGTTGTGACATTCAAATCTTATAGACAGTTTTCGCGTGCCATTTGAAAATACTCCCGAAAATCACGCTTTTTTTTTTTTTTTTTGCTATTTCGATCTTCGGACCCGGATTACTCGGGAACGAATAGGAGATGCTACGATTTTTGTGCACCGATATTTAGAGACGACTGTCCTGACGGGCTCTGCCCAATTATATGCCAAAATATTCTTTATTTATTTATTTATATTGATTTGACTGATGTCAAGTCGGAGAATCCTGCAGGAAACGGTCACGTTTTCCCCTGCATGCCTCCTCCCTCGCATAATACCCCACGCTGCTTCCGCGCATCATGTGGCGGAATGATACACGATTTAGTTGGTACTTGAATCGTCTTTCTAGGATTACGGGTTATCGAATGGTGGGATTTTATCCTCGTTTCTGTATATGTAAATTGTAGCAGACGACGCACTGTCATTTCCTCCCTCCCTCTCCTCTCGCAGTCTCTCACCTGCCTAGGTTTTTTTTTCCCTTTGCTTTCCCCTGCCCAGGGATGTGAGGCGCCAGCAATCCTCCGGTATTTTTTTTTTTATACTACTCGCTTATGATTTCCTCCTTATTTCTGTTCGTTTTCCTCGCTCTTCTCTAACCTCTCCACTGTCAGAGGCCTGCACGGATGAATTTTTCCGAACTCGACCTTGTCCGCTTGAGTGGAATCAAGACCAACACCCGACCCGGAATTTGATCATCGGCCGAGCTCTATAGCAGTGGCGTAGCGAGGGGGGGGGGGGCTTCAGCCCCCCCAACTCTGGTCGAAATGCGTCTGCCCCACCCCGACGAGGCGAAGTTAGCCCCCCCAACGTTCCGCTTAGCCCCCCATTAGCCCCCCAACTTTCCGCTTAGCCCCCCCCCCATTGACGAAAACCTGGCTATGCCACTGCTCTATAGGGCTCAGCTACGCCTGGTGTTGAACTGATGAGGCCGACCCGCGGGCCGCTTAGGTCCCTAAACTTGAAACTGTTGTTCTCTGGGAAGTATTTGCCCGCACCAGACCGGAAACTTGATTGTCAACAGAGCTACACGCCTGATTGGCGAGTCGGTCCTAACAAATCGATATGCATCCCTTGCAGAAGAGCTTTACTATATATACCAGGCCGTTTGAAATTCGAACATCATGTCTCCTTCAACCGCTACGGGGTAGAATCCATCAAAAATTTGTATGCACCATATCCTCGATGTCCAAGGGTTATTTATTTTTACCCTATTTTATTTTTCCAAAGCGTGACTCTTCGAAATTCGAAATTTGTTTCTCTTTCGAATGCTCTCAGGCTGAACCGAACTAAAACTGTTGCTAAAGGAAATTATGGGTTTCCAATGACAATTAGCACCCCCTTCTTCTACATGAGAAATGTTAAGAGTTCCAAAATCGTACAGTGTGCCTCGTTTGAATAGTAAGGAGCAAAACTATGAAAATTGGTGTATATGGAAGACGGGATGGGTTTAGATGACCAGAAGCACCCAATATTATTTTTCTGAATCTTGGCATTGCAAAATTCTAGCGTTTTGTCTCATTTGAATAACATACTTATAAATATTTTGTTATAATATAATAGCGGTGCCAAACTGGCGGCGGACCCGTCAGTCCATTTCGTCCTGTTCACGAAACCCTCCAGCAGTTGTTGACGAAAAGGTGCTTTTAATAATCAACATTTAAAATTATGAAGATTTGAATCTGTCAATGTGGCTCCAAACCAACCCTGAATTATTCCATTCAGTCCAACCTAATAGAGTCGGACCCAATGGCCTATTTTTGGCTGAAGGGTCAGGGAGGGGCAGGGCAACAGAGCGGGGGCGCCAAACCCCACCCGAGCGATATCAGGGGAGAAAACTACCTTTAAGGAGCTTCAAGGCGGCTGCCTCCTCTGCCCTCCTCCTCCTGTAAAATACGCCACTGGTCAGACCCCTCTGGAATACACAGTATTATGTCCAAGATTAGAGCGACAGTCTGATCTCTGGCTCGACCAACCGCTAGAGGCCCCATCAATGTGAGTAAACGAAAAAATAAGGCTTCCCTCTAATTCAACTGGTAATATATCTAAAAGAAGCGCACACGTCTTGAGGCATGTTACAAACTTTATGGAAGTCTGTAATAATGCATGTGGCATTTTAAGGACCTTCGCATTTGTGTCACGTAAAGGTAGGCAAGATATTAGCCTCATGGGCTTCTCAAAAAATATATTCATTCTCCTCGTGCGTTACGTAAAAGAACATGTACAAGAAGAAAGGCAAGAAGCAATAGTCTAGAGAGGAAATCGATGGGACAAAACTTCGGTCATGAACTCTATTCCATAGTAGCTTAAGGTACTATGGGAGGATGAAAATCGAGACCCCTGGATCGAAATTCTGCTTTATAATTATTGTAAGGGACCTCAAGAAAGGGCCTTGGAGCCAATTGCTGACTCTCTCAGGTCACGCCCGGGGCCATGATTTGAGGTCAAAGGTCACGATTT